CACCAAACGGATAAAGAAACATGTAAGTAGTGACTTCCTGCATACAACACTGAACATGTCTACTGTTTCTTTGCCTTCCATACACTTGACATTCAATGAATAACCAGTACCTTATTAGGTTACGTTCTATGATATTAGTTTTGGTTTTTCTGAGACATGTATTTAAAGGATCCAGTTGGCAGCTTACATTTGGAGGTTGTCTGGATTACCGGTCCTGTCACACGAATAAACACGTTTTCTGGCTAACGAAATGAAGACCAATCATTGTGTTCACCATGATAAATCTTGAGACGGTCAACAAAATTTGCAAGTTTTAAGATTGCGAAACAATCATAACAATGCTCCAGAAGGATGGTAAACAATTAGGATTTAAGCCTTGTAATCACTGCTTTCAGGACGCGCTATCAAACAGAACCATTGCGTGGTTTGCTTACAAAGATAACATTTACTCATCTTGTTAGGAGATAACATTCTGACACTGGCGTGAGAATCAAACCTAACATTCCTAGTCTGAACCAGCGGGCTGTATTACGTAGTGTTATGTAATTTTAAACAAAGCGCAGTGGCTTTGTCTCGGAGAAGGACTGGAAACATTTAAATCAATTTGGTTTAAAGTAATATTAGGGTAAAGGGCAGTTATGAAGCATCGATAATCTTGTCTATTAACACCAGACTGTCCAGTGTACTGATGCCAAACTCTCCAACATTTCCCCTTTTGCTACCCCTTTGCTTTTCATTCCACCTAGCCTGCCCTGCGCCAAGACATTCTTCAATTTTGCTTTTCTCACCATGTACTTAAAGTCAATTACCTGCTTCTGATACGAATAATTAGTTATATTCACAAGTCAATTTCCTTCCAAACATTTATCTACCGTACGATTATTTCTTTTAACAGTATATAGCATTTTATTGAACATAATCAGGAAGATCCAAACTGGCAAACTCCGACTAGATTGGGCTAACAGCATCCATGTGGAATTTTCTTGGCTGTACACAGCGGGATATACCGGTGTTAAAGAAACTGAAACAGTCGACCGACTGTCTGTGTCTGCAGTTGTTTGTGGAGAAAGAAGAATGGGCAGGGCAGATTTACTGAATGCGTTGCACTCCAGAAACTTTAAGACAAATGTGTCAGACACGAAGAACCGCCTGTTGCAAATGGATATTATACGAGGATAAATGTGCAGAAATAGGTTGCGAAGCAGAGAAAGAACATGCTAGTCGACTGCTACTGAATAGGTCGAGCATGAAGACACTGAAAAGACTGCTGCATCATAGGAGGGAACACAGAAAGGTCTGATGTGCTATATGTCGATATGGACAGCAGGTAACATGCTCATGGGATTCTCCTGTTTCCTATAAACTCTCTTCTCTACTGAATCCACATAATCCTTCACTGTTTAGTTGATGGCCATCACCTCTAAACGGTCTGTCCACCGTTTACTTCAGTCGGACATGTGTTTACTCTGTCCCCTGTTACAGACATGGGAACCTTCAGTGGTACCACACGTTGGTCACTAATCACTATCATGTGCCTATGATTCTACAAGTGGTACAAGAATATACAGGTCGAACAGACGGAAGTTACGACAAGCACAAGAACAGCAGAAACAGCATGTCAAGTGTTTAACCATCTCGTTAGAATGCTGCAACATCAAATACCATCAAGTCTTAAAAGATCAGCTAAAAGAGCAAAAGACGGTCACTAAAAATATGAGACAAGATTAATGCCTCTTTACGCCTTCATGACATGACGCTAGCCAGTACCAACGTGCACTGGATCGCACATTTTTTTTTTCATGACCACGCTGCTCAACTCTTTGAGTCCCAAAAAACATACGTTCACAGGTTCCTATCTAGAAGCCCAATAAACATAAGAAGTGCCGATGTTATGTCTATCTTGACTATCCCTTGGGCCTCTGATGCTAAACCCCCTAGGACTCAAAGAGTTAACGGCCAAAGTGGCTTATGATGGTATGATAAAAGGCACGATTAAAAAAAAAGCCAAGTCAAGAACGGATTTCATGCCCTTGGTACATCGGGCATATGGTGCTGGACTCACACTTTGATGGACCGGTCAGCTCTCCATGGCCGCCGAGGTATTTCCGCCCTGATGCGGATTCAAACCCGGGACTTTGGACCGGAAGAAACTGCACTGCAATACCGCGACATTATTACTGTATTGCGCTAGCATTACGAGTCTCAAATTTCTTTTTTGCTGCAGGTGAAACATGTGAAAAAGACAGGTTAGCAGGTTAGCATGAACTAACAAGTCGTTAGGAAGGTTAGGCCAGTTCACAGTCTGGATGTACCCGGTGTCTGCCTAAGGCCTACTACCCTGTGTTTACTTAGACAATGACACGAGCGCAGAAAGCAATGGCAAACAACTGAAACAAAAATGACCAGTGAAACCACACAGAAGCGAGTAAATATTAGGTTTGGCTTACAAAGTTTGGTTAACAAAAAGTTGCGTGCTTGATGTTTATGTTTTCCTTTCGTCAGGTTTTAAAGAAGGTGAAACCGCGTGTTGGGATAAAGAAGCAGTCACTGAAGATGATGGACAACCTGATGAAAGACACGCTTCATCAAATCGCCACCCACGCCGCCTCTAAAATGGGAAGAAGAAAGACGTTAAAGGTACCAATGCCCACGATAGTTGATGTTATTTTTTGTAGATATGTGTGTGTAGGTCAAAGTGAACGGCCAGTAGACACGTGAGAGAAACGGAGGTGTGCACAGACAGAGAGACAGAGTAGTAGACCAACATGACTGAAATCGGATAGATGAAAAGACAGTCGGACAGTCTGACCAACAGACAGACGGATAGATAGATGAGGCAGACTGACAAACAGGTGGACAAACAGAATAACAGGTAGGCAGACAGACAAACAGAGAGATAAAAGGACAGACACGCGGAAAGACAAGATAGGCAAAGAGATAGACAGACCGGTGGCGAGGCAAACGGGTAGATGCACAGAGTGATAGGACAGAGGTCGGCAAGGACCACAGCGTGTGGATGAACAGAAAGATGGGCAGACAGATGCCAGATAGACAGATGGAGTGAGGCGATCGTAATGGCAAGCCGACGGAAATACATATGGATGAGTCGGCACCAGAGATAAAGTGAGATAAGATACCTTACGATCATACTGAATAATATCTGACTAGATAAGTTTAAGTATCAGATTAGATGAAATCAGAAAAATACGAGATAAGGTTAGACAAGATTAGGTGAGGGAATTGTTTCAGAGAACTAAACACAAGAGACCTCTTTGGGAGATAACTAAAGACTGGGGGGGGGGGGGAGAAATGGGGGGTACTATGGGGGGGGAAAAACTAGTCACAAAGGAAACTGCGGAAGAGATTAAACACAGAGGCAAATGTGGGAGAGAACCAAACACAAAGGGAGCTATAGAGGAAAACTAAACACAGAGGCAAATGTGGGAGAGGACCAAACACAGCAGGAGTTGGAAGAGAACTTAAAACACAAAGGAAACTGTGGGAGAGAACTAAGGTGACATTGTAAGGCAACTAAACACAGAGAGGACTTTGGGAGAGACCTCGACACAAATGAAACTTTTGGAGAGAACTAAATGCAAACGCAAAAAAGAACTTTGGCAGAAAACTAACATACATGGAACTCTGGAGGAGGGAGTGCTGCTAAACATATGTTAGCATATCAAGAAGTAAACACTATGAAATGCTGATGACAATAAAACTAGACTGTCTTTTTTGCTGGAACCCACAGGACTGAAAGAAAAAAAAGAGAAATAAGGTAGTCGGCGCAAAGGTGGGGAAGAGATTCACAGAATGAGGTGAGAAACATGACATGGAAATGGGACGAGTTGTGCATGATGGCAGAGGACAGAACGACGTAGTATGAGCTAGTTGGGGGCTTAGTCTCTCTTGGGTACAAATGACCTAATAGTAATAATAATAATTTAAAAAATCAAAGAGGACATAAACAACAGGTTGCACAATGCAATGCCTATTATATTTCGCGGTATCTCGTCAGGTGCGCGCCACAGTAGCCACTGCATATCTGGACAAAAACACACAGAAACAACCAACGGCTGCTGCTGTTGCTTTGAGAACAGCAACAACAACACCAGCAAAGAACAGCAACAACAACCACTACTACTACTGCTGTTGCTACTATTATTACATTAACTACTGCTGTTATTAAAACAGCAGCTTCTGTTATTACTGCTGCTGCTGCTGCTACTACTACTACTGCTACTAATATTAAAACAGCGACAACAACATCAGATATTACTGCTATTACTACTGCTATTATTTCTACTACTACTAATACTATATCACCTAGCATGTCTTGTGCCAAAAGAGCACCCCGGAAACCACTGGATCCGTTGCCCGCCTTTCCCGCTGTAACGAATGGACATGCACAGGGTGTCCTGGATGTCTTGTGTCCACCTAAAATCGTTATGGATTCCCTGATGTAGCGGCTAGACTTTGGCCTGCGGATTCGAAAGTCCGCGTGAAGCTGGATTCCTTTAAACTTGGCCTTGGCTCACAGGTGTATTCAGCCTTAAACGTGGCCTTGGCTCACAGGTGTATTCAGCCTTTAACGTGGCCTTGGCTCACAGGTGTATTCAGCCTTTAACGTGGCCTTGGCTCACTGGTGGACCAAGCCTTATACGTAGCCTTGGCTCACTGGTGGATCCAGCCTTGAAAGTGGCCTTGGCTCACTGGTGGACCTAGCCTTAAACGTGGCCTTGGCTCACTGGTGTATTCAGCCTTATACGTGGCCTTGGCTCACAGGTGGACCTAGCCTTGAATGTGGCCTTGGCTCACAGGTGGACCCAACCTTGAACGTGGCCTTGGCTCACAGGTGGAGCCAACCTTGAGCGTGGCCTTGGCTTACATGTGGACTCAGCTTTAAACAAATACAAGATAAAGTCCCGAAACCATATGACCTACTGAGCGCCGAATGGTCTATAAAGGCGTGAGTCTGTCCTCGTATTTCCAATGCGCCACTTGTATGTAAAGGGACGTTTACCGTTTACCCACAGACTTTATAATGGTCTCTCACCCCTTCATTCAAGAACAATAGCTTCTATTACATTTCTTTCCCTCAAAACCTTTAGGACGTATTACAATAGGCAACTTTTTTCAGTTTACTAAAGACGATACTATTTATGCGCCAGTTCCCCGTGGTGTTTAGATCGCGAAGAATGTGCGTGTTTCCTGTTCTGGGCCCATAATACTCTAAGAATCCCTATGTTGAAAGTTAGTTAGAAAAGCCCTGAATATCTTCTTCAGTGCTTGAGACAGGATCTATGACTCACATCCGAGTATGGGTTATTTTATATTGTAAATAAAGGATGCACAGTCTCAGGATTTTCACTTCACCTTGTCTGTTCATGCTGAGCAATAGTTTCTTCATACTTCTTTTACCATTGTATTACTAAAGTAAAGCTCTCAATTTCTGACGAGCAATTTCCAGTAGTGGTAATTACCGAAGTCAGGTTTTTAATGTTTGTAAAATGTGCCATGTCTGTATCCTTACACTGTGATTTGATTGCTCAACAGCCCAGGCTTATCCTCAGAGCCATGAAGAAAGTCATGCCCAAGTCGTTGGCGGACAAAGTTGATGAGCACGCACAGAACGCGCTAGAGAAGTACGACCGGCACTATCGCTGCCCTAGGAGGCGAAGATAAGGACGACTGAATGAGTCTACTACAGAACACAGGAACAACTGGCTATTGTTTTTTTTTTAATCTATATACATAAATCGTTGAGATGTATGTCACATAAATTGTGGAGTGTACCAGATATTATTGAGGTACTAAAGGGAGGCAGTTAACTAAACAAAAGAAAGAAGGGGGAGGGGCGGGGGCGAGGCAGTAACTAAATATAGGCAATATATAGACACACACACACACAGATATACACAGACACACATACAGATACACACACATAAACACATAACATACTACGACATTACATTTTACAGTAACAAAACTCAACTCACAACTGATTTTATAAAATTTGAAATTGAATTTTCTATTAATTTAACTTTATGACTCCACTAGACATTAGGCAGGGTATCTACAATTTACCGTTTTGGATTGAATACGGCAGTTTTTTTTTTTTTTTTTAAATTCGTATCATTATATTTAATCGTCCCCATGTGGGATACAATTTTTCGTTATTTAAAGCCCCACCCTGGCTTTTGCCGGGAAGCTCTGAATATAGTCGGGCCATAAATATGGCCTAAACGGCTGAAAGGGTTTCTGGGACCTCTCCACGGGTGATCCTTGTCCACATGGTGGCACTTTGTGTCATTGGGTGTTTATCGCTTGTGCGATGTCCTGGTGGGGTACAATAAAAGAGAGAGAGAGAGAGAGAGAGAGAGAGAGAGAGAGAGAGAGAGAGAGAGAGAGAGAGACGAGAGAGAGAAAGAACGTGGCTGAACCAACAAGGTGAAATCTTCAGGTAGCAACGCAGAGTAGAAAACTGCCAGTTATTTAGTTAGAGCGACAGTTTCATGACCAGTAGTTTAGATCGACTTGTATCTTAGTCAGATTCTACAGAAACTATGATTTGGGAGTAACAGCCATGTCTTTATGTATTGATCACAAAATGTCTTTAGGACATTTTAACTACATTTTGCTAAATTAGTACTGTTTAAACCAGAATAAAACACAGTGAAAGAAAAAAAAAAGAACTTGACAAAACTCGTATAAGATCTATACCAATCTACAAGGTTTACGATTTAATTGTTTTCGCTGAATTTTACTACACACTGAACCATAAGTTGTTAAAGAGATTGATTTTTACTGCAGAAAGCTTACAACAAGAGGAAAAAAAAACTGTTTTGATGGAACCGACTATATTTACTGATGTTTAAAGTGATTTCTAATGTCGTATACACACATAAGTAATGAGCCTTTTGTAGTATGTTTCAATCATGCAATGTTTTGATATGACAACGTTTACCACGTACCAAACAATGTTCAATAAAAACAAACTTTTATACCATTCAGTTAGGTCTTTTCGGTTGAGTCGTGATGAGTTGAGTGGAGTTGAGTTTAGAATTGTCATCACAGCATTGGATATGTTGCCATTAGTGATCCGCCCCCATCTTCAGTAGGCAGCACAACATTCCAATTTTAATAATTGTAAAAGCAACAGCCGCGATATCTCATCTGAATACGACATGGAAGAGCAAAATCAGCATCACATTCAAGGTCTATATTTTAGCAAATAACTGGTATTGTCTATTCTCTTACACGGATGTCAGAGTTGCACTCTAAATGTGGAAAATGGAAATGAGTATATCAGATAAAAAAAATATACAAAGTTTCGGGACATCAGGAGCCTCTCTTGGCAGTGGTGAAACGCTGCAAGCTAGATTGGTTTGAACACGTGGTGAAACATGAGTCTTATGCAAAGCTGTACGTAAAAAAAAACATTGCGGAAAAGGGGGGGGGGGGGGGAAGTCAAAGAGGAGGAGGAGGACAAAGAAGAAACTAGAATGACAACATCAAGAAATAGACAGGACTAAGTTATCATACACTTATTTATCAAGCGTAAGACAGAAAGGTGTCAGGTTTTACGTGCTAGTGCTTCCATCAATACACCTCCGCGACCCTAATGGGTCAATAGTTGAGTTATGTTAAAAGTAGTCTGACAGTATGTTTGCCTTGTCATTTGTCTAAGTTTCAAGTGTCGGTCATTTCCCTTTGGCAAATCATCAAGCCCTATTCTTTCCACACCACGATGATCTATTTGTGCTTTCACACTCTTCACTGGCTCCCAGTGAGTCTTGATAATAACTAGACTGTCATGCAAACATTTACCACCAAGTAGTGCTAACTAGCCAACTTATTTAGCTGCTCGTTTTCCATCGAGCATGCATTCCCTGGCAAAATTATCTAGCTGCCTGGGACTTCTGATGCAATGATTGTGTCACATAATGCTGGTGTCACGTGCCTTTATTAGGGTTACCCTATTGAATCAAAATGCATTTTTAAGTAGTTTTGGTATTAAAATATTGGCGCAAAATGGTCTAGGCGGTATTCCGCAGCTCCAATGAATATCCAACCTACGTCAGGTGTAAGGCGACTAAAATAGGCACTTGGACTGACTTTGCCACTACTTTTAAGCCTCCATACTAGACAGTAAACCTATGCTAGTCAAATTAACACAGTATAACATGAAGTATAACAATACAACAGATACTTCAGACAACTTGAGAACAGTGAAGGATGGACACTAACCAACGAATATGAAATAATAAAACATCATGTAATCAGTGGATCACACGAAAGAAAATAAAGGAAAAGGATTCATCAAGATCAATAAAACTAGCTATTCGAGCAAAGAAAATACTAATCCAGACGGAATCCTGGATTGTCCATATCCACAGCCATAATCATCACTGCCAAATTGTGGACTTTTGGACCTAGGGAACTGGCACACGGTGCTAGCGCTGAATACCGGAACTGGCCCAGATCCCTTATCTGTCCAGGATGTCCTGTTCAGTTGAGTTGAGGCCTCCTCCCACGTCTGGCAGTAAATGTTTCACATATGGTTAATTCCTACATGAATCCTCTATATTAGTCACTAGGATTACCAAAACTTTGACTGTCTTCTCTACCACACATAAGTGTTCAGAACAGGTAATATTATATCACGGTCTATGAGTCCGTGTTACTTATAAGTGTTCAAAATTACTTGATGCCAGACTCTAGGCGTGGCAGTTGTTGGCACATAACTAATAATAAATTACATACAAAGACAGAAAATGAAATGGTTTGCTCACTTGGAAAGAATGCTATACCATATAAGGCTTATACCAAAAGAGGAAAGGAACGTAGATCGAGAGGTAGATCAAGAACAATATGGAAAGATGATATCAGAGAAACTCAACAGCGCCATGATGTGTCTATTGTTGAAGCAACCAGAAGAGCACGAAGCAGGACCTTATATCTCCCTCGACGCCCGGAAGCGGTAGAAGAGGGCCTAAAGACTACAAGGATAGGGACGACTAATTAACAATAAAATTCATCATCGTGTATGCAGCATGTCTTTATAGAACGCCGCTCTCATCACTGTCCACCTGACAGACATTCGTTCTCTCGCCAGCTCTCTCGCCTCATGCACCCTCCTGCCCAAGATGTCACTTATCTCCTGTGACCACCTTCGTCATGATCCGCCCCTGACCCTCTTTCCTGGCAAACAGGTCTTCTACTACTTATCTTACAATTACATTAGGATAAGAGAATAAATAATACTTTTAATCAACCACAACATCTAATGTATGCCAAGCTGACCTACATCTACACATCATGGGGGTTCTAGGGCCTAAGTTCGCCGGAGGTGGGGACAGGCGGTATTGGCGTGGGGATAAGGGAGATCAGATCCACAGCTGCTTAGCTTCTTGCTGTATAAGAGTGTGCTAAAATCAGATGTGTCAGGCCAAAAGCGCAGATATCATAGACAAGCTGTAAACTACCGCAAAACATTTTATTTGTTTTTTATAAAGGCAAACTCAGAAGAAGAAGATGAAATACATATTCACAGTTAAAGCAATTTTTATACTGGGCAGCTCTGTTTGATGCCAAAATTCCCTCCACTGTACACACGTATTTGAAACCAAAATGTTGCCCGTTAGGGGTTGGTGAAAAAAAAAAGGGGGGGGGGGGGCGTAAAAAGAATCTGTATAGAACTGAATTATGCATTTTTCAAAAACCTGCTGAGAGCCATTAGCAAAGTAAGCATCACTATAGGAAGAACAACACTAAACACAATAAACGCATAACAGGAGAATCAGCAAAACCACAGAAATCTGTAAAACCCAACAGACAGACGGACACGTGTGGAGCTGGAGATGAATGAGGCAAGACACTGCAAATATGTTCAGTTTGGCAGCTATTGAACATTTCATACGTCCCTCTTGGGAACTACGTTTGCGGCTCATCTCTCAGACATTAAGTGCTGGCGTCAATACTAAAAGTCTTCCTAGATACAGATTGAAACTGAGGATTTAGGAGACTACAAACAAGCATCTAACCCATGTGATACCTGGTCACCCACATCTTTCTATAATTATTGGAAAACCAATCTGGTTTTTGTTGATTTCTTCAGGATTTTCTTGAATATAGAATCTTCTTGGATTATGTTCTAGAAATGTATCGCAAATGATAAGTTTAATTTCATCATACAATAGAATCAGACATATCCCACTGTTATTTCTCGTCCCTAGTCCACATCGCTCACTGTTCTCTTTTCATTCTTTTCTTCTCATTCTCTTGTAACGGTATTCGTGACGGGGGATGATTGGCAGAACGGATGAGAACATAGGGCTCTCATGCGGGTGACCAATTTTAAAATCTTTGGTAGCGTTGGGGCTGTTTCTCTTCTGTCGTAGGCAAAAACTGCAATCCTAAACTGAACAGACCGTGGCACCAGCCATGCGGTCGTCGTGCCCAAAGTCCAGAGTTTGTATAGTTTGATCAGATACATGACATCTGCCAAGCAATGACTGTCAGTTGAGGAAGCTGATGTAAACCTGTTCTTGAAACGACGAAGCTGAATAAAGCGATCATTCCCTGCTGTTGTCTCTCTGGGTGGGCCACTGCGTTGCCTGTCTTTGCTGAGTCAGTGGATTGGAACCGGTGCCAAAGCTGACTGATTGTACTCTGATGCAAAT